CTCTCTCTCTCTCTCTCTCTCTCTCTCTCTCTCTCTCTCTCTCTCTCTCTCTCTCTCTCTCTCTCTCTCTCTCTCGCTCTCTCATTCACACACACACACACACACACACACACACACACACACACACACTGCTCTCCCATAATGAAACCACTTAAACACAACTTTAGCTCAACCTTGAGTCAAGACTTAGCTGTAATAGCCATATACAGTATCAGACACTGGGTGTTTGGTTGTCTTCAGTGAACATCTGAAACCATAACATACTTATGAAAATCAATGCCCTTTCGTTGCCCTCTGTGGACAGGGCCTGGAGAACCAGGTATTCAAGAGCCAGGCAGGGAGCTGGGCAGCTTGACCCCAGATCCACTTGCTTGGCTCCACAACCACCTCTTCCACTCATTAGCTAGATGTCCTTGGCCAAGCAGCTGAATCTCTAAGTTTCTCTTCTACAAGACGAGCACCAAAGCCAGAGTGGGTATATCGCATGCTTGAAGCCCTAATTCAATTCCCCAGCACTCAAGTAAAAAGAGAGAAAAAAACCTATATAATGAGCAGTAAACTAAGATGCTAAATTACTTAAACATTCCTTAGCAGACGATAAACGGTAAATCAGAGTTACCTGTAGACTTTAGTCCCCAGACAGACAGGTCAGCCCCCTCTTGCTGAGTGTGTGGATAGTGGTGGAGGGGTGAACCTTCTTTCTATCTCCCGGTCACCATATAAGTCACTAGGCTGGAAGCAGTTCTTATAGTGAGATTTCATTTGTATTTTAATAAATAAAGCTTGACTGAAGATCAGCGAGTAAAACAGCCCCACTGGTCAGCCATACAGACCAGGTAGTGGTGATGACATACACCTTTAATCACAGTAGCCACACTAGTTTGCTATAGAAACCGGACAGTAGTGGTGCATGCCTTTAATCCCAGCCCTAGAGAGGAATATAAAACAAGAGGAGACAGCTCTTAGACACAGTCTCATTCTGAGGATTCCTGGAGGCAGGATTGCCATTTCAGACTGAGGTAGAGGTAAGAGCCTGTGGCTGGCTGTTTTGTTTTTCTGACCTTCAGGTTGAATCCAGTATCTGTCTCTGAGTTTGATTCAATCGTGTTACAAGTTCTGGTACCTGAGTCACCCTATAAGTCACATGCTAGAAACAGTTTGGATCCTGAAGACCTAAAAAAAGATTATGATCAAAAGTGCAACTCTTAGTCAAATGAAAGGAGCTGTAGTCAAACATAGCTGTACATAGCCATTTCTTTTGTAATGTAAACAAATTTCTTTTTCCAAAAAAAAAAAAATGTGTTAATTCCAAGCTTTATAGCCTCCAGGGGGTGGGGGTGGGGGACTTCATGCTA